CACTAAAATCGCAAGAATTAACAAGACTTATATAAAACTAAGTTTTGCCAATTTGTGTAGAGATAGTAGATCATTTAACATAATTATGAGGTCAAAAGCTCTATTCGGGATTCCGATTTCAAAGATTTTCAATAGAGTTCGTGCTTGGAAGGAAAGAAACGCACGTTCCAAATTTCAGGCAGACGGACGGAGAGACGGATATAGCACAATCGACTCAAGAAGTGACTCTGAGCCGATAGGTATACTTTAAGGTGGGTGTAGGTTCAATATTTTTGTGTGTTACAAACATCAGCACAAACGCTTAGTACACTCCCCACTATAGTGGTGTAGGGTATAAAAAGTATTAGTTATTTAGTTAGTTAGTTAGTTAGTTAGTTAGTTAGTTAGTTAGTTAGGTAGTTAGTTAGTTAGTTAGTAAGTTAGTTAGTTAGTTAGTTAGTTAGTTAGTTAGTTAGTTAGTTAGTTAGTTAGTTAGTTAGTTAGTTAGTTAGTTAGTTAGTTAGTTAGTTAGTTAGTTAGTTAGTTAGTTAGTTAGTTAGTTAGTAGTTAGTTAGTAGTTAGTAGTTAGTTAGTTAGTAGTTAGTTAGTTAGTAGTTAGTTAGTTAGTTAGTTAGTTAGTTAGTTAGTTAGTTAGTTAGTTAGTTAGTTAGTAGTTAGTTAGTTAGTTAGTTAGTTAGTTAGTTAGTTAGTTAGTTAGTTAGTTAGTTAGTTAGTTAGTTAGTAGTTAGTTAGTTAGTTAGTTAGTTAGTTAGTTAGTTAGTTAGTTAGTTAGTTAGCTAGTTAGTTAGTTAGTTAGTTAGTTAGTTAGTTAGTTAGTTACCCTGCGGGGAAGAGAACTGACACGAAACTTGTCACGCGCTAGTTCTAAAGTGATAGGGACCGGTTCTAGTTCTGACACTTTATATGGAGGGGACTTGTCACTTTAACATGGCGATGTCCTACGAGGGGGTTAATTGACACCTTTTTCATACTCTGTGACATGTCACGGAACTTAACTCATCGAACCTGTGTAATTTCGGAAAATATGAATCTACCCCAGATATTGTCCCAAATGAATACGTCACTGGTTCAACTTAAAGAACTACTTTCATGTGAGTTTATTTGATACCGGTATTATATATTATTACAAGAGAACTGACACAGGTCTGACCTTTAAGACTTATTCTTGAATAGTTTCAAATGCACTCACTCAAGTTTAACTTAAAATAACTTATATAGTACCGGTACTAAAAGGACCTATCATGGGAATTACACTAAGTATATACATATACACAAGATTACTTTTTATTTTAAAGCAGCTTAATTTTATTATCTTTTATTTCAAAATAAGAAAAGTGATAATAACCCGAGACTCCAATGTAGCTTTAATTTTGAAATTAGTTTTTAATAAAAATAATAAGTTATACGAACTCGAGGACATTTGTTTTAAAGTTATATTATGTAATTATTTCCAATATTATGTATTCTTTGGATATCATTTTCAAGAAATAATATATATTTGTAAGACACATGTGTATGTATAATTACCTTAAAATATAGTTGTTACTATTTCTTAAAAATTATATAAAACAATATTGAAATATTAGAAAATATATAGTACATAGAATATAATATTAAAATAATTAACCTCGAGTCGAAAAACTATTCAGTTTTAATATAAAAAAATATTGTAAGAAAAAAGCGAATTTTTAATTTATAATAAAAACTAAATATTTTTTAAGGAAAATTAATATTACAAAGTAAAAATAAATTCATTAAAAATTTAACTTTAAAAAATTTAATTAAAAATTATTTCAGACTTTAATAGAATATTGGTTTTAATAATATAAAAAAAATATAAATTACGTAAATTTAAAAATTAAAATTTTTTAATTTAAAAATACTATAGTTTTATAATAAAAACTAAATAATTTTTATTCCAAAGTTAAAATAAATTCATTTAAAACTAACTTTAAAAAAATATAAATTAAAAATTATTTCAGTTAATAGAGTATTAGTTTTAAAAAAAATTAGAAAATACAAATTACTTCAATGTTAAAAATTACATTTTACGGAAATTGGATCATATATAAAAAATTAATTATCTTGCTTTTTCTTTTAAAATTTTTTTTAAATGTCGCTTTTTTGTAAGATTAAGTGCTCTTCTAATTCTTCCCTCGATGTCATCTATTTCTGGGTTAGCTCCTACTGCATCTAAAATTGATAAATTAAATAATATTATTTATATTATTTAATAAAATAAACAAATACATAAACTAATTATTTAAAATTAAATTAGTTATTTAATTTGAAAATTTAAATAGACATTTATAAAATAATTTGTTTATAATGGAAATTATTATTATTGTTATAATTAAAAAAAAGTATACCTTTTATTGCATTGTATATGTTTTCGAAATTCTTCAACCTTTTTTTTCCATGAGTCCCATCTACATTATATGTGTATAAAAGTTCTTCAGAAATGATTAAGCCTATATTTTTCACAATATTTTTTCTTATAAGGTTCTTTATTGTTGTCACCTGAAATAGATATGAGACATTTTATTAAATATTTGTATTTTTTCAAAAATTTAATTATGTACTTACATATAAATGTTTATTATTCTCATTAATTTGATTTTCAATTTCATTTAAATTTCTTTCTGAATTTATTGGAAACAGGTTTGAAAGCATATTGGATGTTTCATCCTGCTTTACTAGAATTTTGGTAAGGACATTTTGTGCTGCTAATGCTTCCATTATTTTTTTATTTTGCTCCTTTAATATTTCTGAAATATATGAAATATATAACAAAAATGATTAGTTTTAAGTAAAATAAATATATTAAAATAAATTACCTGTTTGTTGTTTGAACATATTATCTATATATGTTTTCAGTTCTGTGCAATCATGGCAGGATTTTTTCTGGGAAAATTCGGTTTCAGTGGGAATTTGGCGACTTCGTTTCATCTTTTAAATATTAAATATATGTATGTATTGGAAGAAATAAATATTAGTGTAAAATCGGAATTAATAAAAATTTGTTTTGGTAGGGAAAAGATAACATTTTATTTTCTATTTCATCGATGGAAAATTCTTCTTCTTTTGATAAATTATAATCTACCAAAATAATGCCCAACTTAATGGAATCTATTGGACTTTTAAAAAAGCTGCATTTATTGACAAATCTGCTTCCTAACACTGCATTTTTTTCTTTATTAAAACCATTAATTTTTAAAGGTATTTCCGATTTTAAGTAGCATATATTGTCAGGGCTTTTTGAATTAAATACAAACCCACTTTTACAATAACTTACAATTTTCTTTTTTTCTTTAAATCCCTCATCTACTTTTTCAACTATTCTTTTTTCGTTCTGAATTTTATTAAATATTTGTTGAATTATTTTATTAGGTTGTTTAATATAATTTTTTAAAACTTGTAAATAATTTTCGAAATCATACGCTGAGAAGTTTGGTAGAATACCAAACTTTTTCACACATTCACCTAAATGTAAAAGATTGTGAACGTTATGGGAAATTGAATTCTCACCAAATACAAACGCGAAGTCTTTTACAAATTCCTCTAACATATTTTGAGCCACATTAATATTTTGTTCCAAGTTCTTTTGTGCCGACAACAATCTGCAAGCACAATGCAAAAGGAGATACTCATGATAAACCTCATTTGGTACATTTTCTTTAAAAATAAGTATTCCTGTATACAGTAATATTTGGCGAAATTCTGTTGCTTTAAAATTTGCTATCTCCACCAAATTTCTAGGCCGACGAACAAATTCTTTTGAAATAAAAGAATGTAATGATTCCAAATGCCTTGAAATTTTAGAAATTTGGTCCTTCGAAATATTAAACTCTAGTTTATTATGAACTATTCTTAACATCATTTTTCGCATTATGCCTAAATCCACAAGGTGCATACTATCTATTGCCACTTGACTAACCATTTTGACTCCTAAATCCTCCAGTGGAGTTCTTTGAGAAAGAAATATATTTTTATGATGATTTTGATATTTTCTTTCCTCAAAATCTTTATCAGATATTAATACCCCGGACTCGGTAGAATAAGTAAGCACCTTATTAATTTTTCTGCCCACTTGAACGCATTTGGTGCATCCGTGGGAAGATGTGTGTCCAAAAATACCACAAATAAAAGCTTTGGCCGGGGAGTCGCAAACTATTGCCCTAATTTTTAATTTTATTAACTTTCCCTCAAATTCTATGCCATTTTCAATTAAATTTTTCATTTCGAAAATAAAGTCTGCAAAATACTCGGTTATATCGTTTGGTTTATTATTGCCAAGATAAATTCCAATTGGAAGTATAGAAATATTTTTAATATTTACAACTCGCAATAATATTGGCCACAACTGTGTTCTGGAGCTTTTAAAAAGCGGCAGTCCGTCGATATTTACATCGACTATGATTTCTTCGTAGTTCGTTACCACAGAACCAATTGATTCCAATTGTTTCCTAACACCAAAATGTGAATATACACCTGGCGAGACCTGCTTTATCAAAGCTTTTTCCCTGTTGGGTATTAGTGTTTTCATACTAAGAGGAACTTCTAAATTTTCTTCTTTAAGTATAGCCAATAATTCTTCAACTGATTTTCTACTTGGTCTATTCCGAATAATCCATTCCTTCAATTTTTCACTAAGAGAACTACTGATCTCATTGTCCACATTTTCAAATGCTGCCGCTAATTTTTCAGAATCTATATGATTTATTCCACCACTATTTTCTACACTTTGCGCTTCAACATCATTCAAATTGTGGACAAATTCTCTTTTTTTCTGAGAAATTAATCTTCGTATATGCCTCTTACTTACACTTCCACCACTCATTTTACTTACCTTTAAACTTTAAATTTTATTAAATGCACACAATTTTTAATTATTTTAATATTAAACATACAAATACACTTTTACTTCTTTAATTTAACTTGTTTCCACAGCCAAAATATGAAACCGAATGACAAAAATAAGGGTGAGTTTGCAAATTACTCTAGTCCCTATATGTACTTTACAAAGAATAGACAAATACACATCAACATTACAAACAAAATCACATAAAATGGTTTTTCTGTTCATTCGTAAATAATGTCGAAAGTGTAGCTTTTCTTTTATTGTTCTTTATTATTCTCATTGTTTTTTGTTTCTCTCTAGTAGATCAAAAGCAGGAGAGTATTTTTTTTATGAGAACTAGAGTATTTTATTAAAGCGACAACATTTAAGTGTTGTTTTTTTACTGTCATTTTTTTAAATCGTATTTTGACTTTTAGTTTACGATGAATCTCATACATAGAAAATAATACCAAATAACAGCTGTGCTATTGACTTCGCCTTATTAAATTGTCCTCGATAAACGTAACTCAAAAAATTGTTTTTTATTTATGTATGGTAAGCAGTAAAAAAGAAAACAGGTTTAGTCGAAAAATAAACAATAAAAAGTTCTTAAAGAAAAATAGCGGTAATTTACTTTTATTTTTTTGTAGTTTGTTGTGAAAAATTGTATTTGTTATTTAAATTTTTGTATATTTATGTATGTATATTGATTGACCATTAATTTATTAGAAATATTATTTATTTGTATTGAAAAAATTATGTAATTAAATTAATGAAACATTAGCAAAAAATTGCATAAGATGCAAATAATTATAATTTTTTTAAAATACAAATTTACTCCACATTCGTAAAAGGAGAACATGTCACTTAACATGTCCAAAAGTCTCAAGTATTTATCTATAGATTTAAATAAATTTGCTAAAACAAAATTTATTCACTATTTGTCACCTCCTAGGCTAACGCCATATTAATGTGGTGTTATAATTATGATAAATCATCATGGACAAGTTTTGTGTCAGTTCCTTTAAACCAATCAGGAGATAGGTCTAGTTTTCACTTATCACACTTCTGTACTTTTTGTAATAATACTATTTTCACATATCACGGGACAGGTACTTTTGGTTCAATTGATACAAATTTCCCGCAGGGTAGTTAGTTAGTTAGTTAGTAGTTAGTAGTTAGTTAGGTAGTTAGTTAGTTGTAGTAGTTTAGTTAGTTAGTTAGTTAGTTAGTTAGTTAGTTAGTAGTTAGTTAGTTAGTTAGTTAGTTAGTAGTTAGTAGTTAGTTAGTTAGTTAGTTAGTTAGTTAGTTAGTTAGGTATTAGTTAGTTAGTTAGTTAGTTTAGTTAGTAGTTAGTTAGTTAGGTTTAGTTAGTTAGTTAGTTAGTAGTTAGTTAGTAGTAGTTAGTTAGTTAGTTAGTAGTTAGTTAGTTAGTTAGTAGTTAGTTAGTAGTTAGTTTAGTTAGTTAGTTAGTAGTTAGTTAGTAGTAGTTAGTTAGTTAGTTAGTTAGTTAGTTAGTTAGTTAGTTAGTTAGTTAGTTAGTTAGTTAGTAGTTAGTTAGTTAGTTAGTTAGTTAGTTAGTTAGTTAGTTAGTTAGTTGTAGTTAGTTAGTTCGTTAGTAGTAGTTAGTAGTTAGTTAGTAGTTAGTTAGTTAGTTAGTTAGTTAGTAGTAGTTAGTTCGTTAGTTAGTTAGTTAGTTAGTTAGTTAGTTAGTTAGTTAGTTAGTTAGTAGTAGTTAGTTAGTTAGTTAGTTAGTTAGTTAGTTAGTTAGTTAGTAGTTAGTTAGTTAGTTAGTTAGTTAGTTAGTTAGTTAGTAGTTAGTTAGTTAGTTAGTTAGTAGTTAGTTAGTTAGTAGTTAGTTAGTTAGTTAGTTAGTAGTTAGTTAGTTAGTTAGTTAGTAGTTAGTTAGTAGTAGTTAGTTAGTTAGTAGTTAGTTAGTTAGTTAGTAGTTAGTTAGTAGTTAGTAGTTAGTTAGTTAGTTAGTTACTTAGTTAGTTAATTTGAAAGGAGGAAGTATATACAGCAAGTCCGCAGAAATACACCTATCCCTCTATGTGCCTTGTTATTCGCTCCTTATCCAGTGCCTTATGTGGGAATAACCCATTACCTCTGGCCCATCAGACTAGAATACTCACCAGTAACCTACCGGAGGCCTCCAGAGAAATAAATCTGATTATTTTACAGCAGAGTATTAAAATTTCCATCAGATATAGCATTTTTAATAGTTTTATTTAATTTTCAATACACATGTTGCCCAACAGTAAAATGGTCATGTATGCCATGATGCACAGCAAAAAAACACTAGCATATGTATTAGAAGAGGCTTTAATAATAACAGCAACATGTATTGTTTCGTAATTTGCATATAGGATGTTTGGACAAGGATGTGTTTGGGCCAAAGGGTGTTATGATGTGTCGTTTTAAAATGTGTTTCATTTAAATGCATGTATTCTGTACACAATACAAACACGTACATTGTTTACTAACAAGTGTATTTAAATTGCAAAAACAAAAAAATCAGATTTTTTCTACTCATTTTTGTTTTTACTTGTAGCGTGTAACATGCAAAAATTGTTTTCAATACCATGGAACATAATTGCATAATTTTTAAAAACACTCTGTTCGAAAACAAACAAAAAAAGTGGAAACAATATTTTTTCTATGTTTCTGATATTACACTTGTTTGAAAAGTTAAATTTCCATACGTTATGGTTGAGAAGCAAAAAAAACTAATAAACATAAAACAACAAATTGTGTCAAACTATTGGAAAAGTTCAAAAACAGGTGATTTAACTAAATGTTAAATTTAACTAGAAACAGTTTGAAACATTTCGACATGCATGTAAATTTTTGCAATAATGTAGCCACATATACACAAAGTAAACACATATAGACAAATTGATTAAAATTGCTAAAGTTTAATAAAATTTAATGTTTATCCATAAACACAGACCGCATGTTTTTTTCCTATGTTTCAAAGCACATTTAAAATAATATAAAATTAAATTGTTTAATATAATATGTATTGTTGTTATTTTATATTGTTTGAAATAAAGTAATTAAAAATTTATTATTTAGTTTCATTAAATTGGCAAAGAGTAACATTTAACTAAATCACTAGGGCGTATGAGTATTATGTAATTATTCTTTAAGGTCATATATTACACATACGCACTCATGTTAATACATCTCTGGAAGTTGTGTTTATTTCATAAACAATAAATAATTATTACTACATTATTCATAAAATATTAAGTTTAAATGTTGTAAATGACTAAGAAACCACATTATTTTATAATTGCAAACAATTTGCATTTATTCTTACCATACACATACATACTTAATACCCTTTAAAACTTAATTTAAAATAATAATCCCTGCTAGTTTATAATACATGTTCCATATACATATTTATCTTTTTGTGTACATTAACCAAATTTATTGAAGTTTAAATACAAATACATAAAACAATAATCAACATTGATTTTAAACATTAAATTATCTTTACATTAAATAAGTACATCTGGGTGGGTGTTTGTATGTGTCATTGTTTGATTTTCTGTAAAATGTTTACGATTTCATGGTCCTTTAAAAATAACAACAACAACAATGCTAACAACAGTTTTAGTAAAATGTTTTCTTTCACTTAGTTCCTCAGTTTATTGTAGATTATGACATTTATTTTATGACTTTCTCGTTCATGTTGTTGTTATTGTGGTTTTTGGACAAAATTTATGATTTTTGATGCTTAAGTACACACACACACACATACATTTTCACATAAATAAATTTTGTCTCTTACAAGAACTTGTAAATGTATGTAAACTTGTTTTGCTTTCAGTATATTCAAATATTTGTTTATGTTTATATTGCTATTGTTGTTGTTGTTGTTAGTGAGATGAAAGTAAAGAACATTTATTATATTTTGTTTTTCTATCATTTTAACATACTACTTTATTATACATAATCACTTTTGTTAAACAGACATTTGTTTTCATTTTCCATTATAATGATTTTAAAAAGCATGTAGCAAGTGCATACAATTTGTAAGGGAATACAGTTGATAGTAGAGTAGAATCAATTGTACAGTTCAGGTTCTTTCAATTCATTTATTTGTATTGTTGTTTTATATTGAAACAAAAAATATTTAAAGTCCAACACAATTTTTGTTTAATTAACAAAAAATTCTGTATTATATTGTTGTTAACTATAAAACATATATATTTTCTGGAAAATTAGGTCATAATCTCTCTTTGAATTTAAACACAAAGATTTTTTACTTAAAGAAGCTCAAAATACATGCATTCAAATAGAATAATTTTATTGTATTTTGTATTTCGCATTCTCTTACAAAAGAAGTCCTGTCTGATGTTTAAAAGGTTTGTAAATGCATTTAATTGACTCTCTGGTTGGTGAATCTTGGACTTTGCTAATGTTATAGTTGGCCTAGGAGGACCGCCTTTGTGGATAGGTAGAGACACTATTGGCATATCAAAATCTATCCCTATATTAACTGATCTAGGTGCTTGTCTGCTCCCTTTAACTTATGATTTCTGTTGTTCCACAATGGAACTACTAAGGCAGTAGATTAGATAGTTCGAGTACTTGAGCCAGTACTAATTAGAATATCAACTGCAATACCTATTTTGCTTGTTTCTCCCTCTTGTGCTTGTGCAATGTTTCAGTTTTGTTCAATTGTGAGGAATAATGTTTAACACTTGCATCTTGACTGTTCTTTTAGAAGTAATTTTGGGATATACTAATATTAGTAATATCTATACTTAATATTAGTAATATCTATAAATCACGTATACGTATAGGTGTCGTTAATAAAAGCAGTGTATTTTCACAATGTAAAGCACGTGAAATGAAAAATGAAGATTGAATTTTGTTTGATTTTATATTCTTAATGCTACAACCTAACACCTTATTTGCAGTCGATCGTATTAAGTACTTGCTAAACACCCTACCTGTAAAATAAGTATTGTGTTTAAAAATTT